GGAACAATGTTGAGCTAAATCAATGATAACTTTAGAGTTGACTTATTTCCTGTTTTTTTTCCCTCTCTCTCCAGACTAAGGTCATGAAGTGAACTGATCAGAGGTGGGTCAAGTAATACAATTAATTGACAGACTAACCTTCTCCATTGATGACTTGCACTGGGCTCTGAGTCTGCATGGAGATGGAAGTGCATCTTTGGCCTTGACAAGCCAGAGTTTCTGAGGAGAAAATGAACTTTGAGCTAAATGGATGATTAGAATTGTCAAGTTAACTTTTTTTTTTTTTTTTTTAACCCAGACTAAATTTACGAAGTGAAGATAGACTCGTCAGAGGTGGGTCGAATAATGAAATAAAGTCACACACTAAGCTTCTCCACTGATGACTTGCACTGGGCTCTGAGTCTGCATGGAGACAGAAGTGCATCTTTGGCCTTGACAAGCCAGAGTTTCTGAGGAGAAAATATTCTCTATTGCCTTAATGATCCAGATCTTAACCCCATGTCTTTTAGGGCTTGGATCAATTTGAATTACTCAAGATCAGTAACTATTTTTTACTTTCTAACATAATTTTTTATTTTTTTTTCAGGCAATGATCTTCCTGCAGACCTCCTACACTCCAAGTTGTGGCAAATTGTTCTGTTTCAGATACTCATTGTCTGTTTTTGGCTTTATAAATAAAAGTTGATTTTAAATCTCTCTCTGAGCCTGCATATTTACCCTGATATTCCTGTAGGAATCATTCAGTTAAATTATTAAAACTGAGTTGGATTTGCAGAGGTTGCCCTCAGATTGAAGAACACAAACCCATTCAGAAAGCTGTATAATTATTTCAGAATAAAGTGTATCCTAGATTTTTTTTTTTTTTAATTTAATACAGGAATACCTATGATTTTGGTTGCACAAAATAACAATTTTCCAAGCACCTAGCCAATATGGTTTAACTTGTTTTTGGAGTTTGTGAGGTTTAGTTGAAAGTACTTTTTATTTTTTCCTAAATCTTCAGTTTTTGTGTTCTGACTTATTCTGTGTTTCATTAAACAAATTTGGCTTAGTTTAGCAGGTTAAATCAACTCCACTTAACGTCACCGAACACAAGGCCAGGAAAGGATTGATCTCTTCTGTCAAAATTTTAGTGCCTTTTTTTTTTTGTTAAAATTAACATTTAAAGACATAAATCTGGAGAAATACTTGCCATTAAATGCCTGGTTAAGAATGTTAAAACATGACATGCATTTCCTATTCCAACAGCTGCCATTTAATGATTTATTTTACAGAAATAAGATATGTTTACGAAGAATATGAATTTTGTATTTCTTCTTATGCAAAACACATCAACCCCCATTTAAATGTTTTTCTGTAAATACCCTAGTAGGAAATGTTTCCAGAATTTCCTGTATTTTACAGCTTTAATATGACCTGTAAAAGGACTCTTAAAACAAGCAACACAAACCACCATAAGCTAGAGCTTTGTTTATCTTTATTATAATTCTAACAATTTATCATCTCTTAAAACATTTGAAATTCATATATATTTATATGAATGTGTATATGCATATCACATATACATATATATATTCTGTAAGATACCATTCTTCAGTTCACTCATTTTTTTTAAAGATCTCTTAAAGGAAAAGAAATGCTTTCTATAGAGTCAGACCTATTCCCTCAGATTGTAACTTTTAACCCCTGACAGTCAATATGAGACCACTCAGAAACTAGAAATCCAGAAAAAAATATCCAAAATCTTTTACCAAGAGTCACAAAACAGAAGACATGAGTTCTTTTAAGCTTAATTTACACTAGAAAACCATTTATAGATCTGATAAACATCTGGCTGTTGAGCAGGTTTAATAATATCCTATTTTACTTTCACAAACAATGTTGAAAGCAACATGTGATAAGGCCAGAACCTGCAGAGGTACTTACAGTGTGACTTGAATATAAGTTACAATTTGAGGCTTTTAGTGATTTTTGATAGCATTTTTTTCCAAAAAAAAATAAAACATACTTCCATATAGAATATGTTATCTGGTACGTGCTCTTTTAAGAAGCACTAGATAACCCCCAATATGACCTAAACCCTTACGTATGGTACCTAGAGCAGAGGTTCCCACACATTTCAGCCTATGACCCCCCAAAGTATCAGAGCCAGAGATTGGTGAACCCCTAAAAGTACATACTTCACTCTTTTTATAAAGAGTGAAGCATTAGATGTTTATATTTCTTTATTTCATGACATTTATCTAATCACATATTTAGATTAAAATCATTTTGGGGGTCAAATCGCAGTAATTCTAAAGATCCAGTTTCGAGTTCCCTGTATGAACCAGGTTCCTGTTCGGATGTCTGCTGCTACTATTGACAGCGAGGTGGATAATCCCAGGCAAAAAACACAAAAGTGGAAGAAAAATAACTAAACTTTTAGGGGTGATTTGCTGTTTTCTAAATGTTGATTGTTTACTTCTGTTCTTCAGAGAAAAAAAACATCAAAACACCTGCATAATGTCATCTATTTAGAGGCTAAAATAGGTATGAACTGAGCTAAACATTCCCAGGAAGTTAATTGACAAGGATACAGATATACCAATATGTATTATCTGTATGGAGTAAATACCTTGCAGATTCTAATTTCGTACTATCCCAGCAGTCCACATTTAAGCAGGCCTCCAGTATAAATACCCTAATACACTAAAGTTCTGGCTGTTATCAAACATTGCTACTCATATTTCCAATGTGTGATGGGATATTTAAGGTGTTACCAATGGTGAGACAGCCTCTGCATCATATGCTGTTAACAAAAATTATGCACTGTGATCACTCCGAGCTGCAAACAAAACGGACAGAGCGGAGCTGGTGTGGAGAACGGGTCAAACTGTATAGAAAGCAGAACAGTTAAATAAATACATCTTCATGATAAACATTACTTGGAAGACAGAGATTCTTTAGAACTTTTAAGAATCCTTTTTTTTTCTCTTCTTAAACCGTGTTTGATGACCATTATTTTCATCGTCCTTATTGCTATTTCCTTATGCATTCTAGGAGGATCTCCTCTTGACCTTCTGCAGATACAAATACAAGTCAGCATTTACGAATGTGCATTGACAGAATGAAGATATGTGCAACAGGATGCATGAAAAAAAATCTTTCCTTTTTGCAAAAATAGACTCAAGGATAGCAGAGGGGTTGGAGAGAGACTCTGCTGTAAAAGATGCAGTTTGATAAAACTGTTCTCGGACTCAGAGCAGGAGAACAGGTGAAAGCGTGAAGTCATAAGAGAGCCCTTATATTCGATCTCAGAGGTTAATGTGCAAAGCTGATGGGGAAGTAAAATACCTTTGAGGGGAAAAAAAAAAAGCACAAATATTAGATAAGAGGGGATTGTTATTCTATGGATTTAAATAATAAAAAAAGTTCCTCACTGATATGTCCTGGGTATCCCCAGAGTAACAGTTGCTACATTGTCACAGCATCTGAATAATATCACTAACTTTTACAGGTGAAAAGTACACTTTGAGGCTTTTAAAATGAGCATGATAGTCTGATTAAAGCTGCACAGTCAAAACATCAGGATCAAGGGGGAAAAAGAAATCCATCGATGTGCTTCACATTATGTTTGCAAGGCTTCTGTTTAAATCAAACAACACAGAGGATTCAGCATGCATCTTCATTCACACCCTAAGAGGAGGAAACCGGGGCTTTTCTGAGGCCGGAATAACAGTAAGGACGATGATAGTAACGATAAGCAGTAACAACAGGTCTCGTCGTATCAATACCAGTAGTTCCAGTGTTTCCGTTTGTAGTTTAAAAACTGTAAGAACAATCGTAGTATTAAAATTCGATACAAGCGTTTCTCTTGGATGATCTCTCTTTGTCGCCTTCTGGAGTTTTTTTTAGCATGTGTGGACAGGGATGGAAGGAGCAGGGAGGAAAAAGATTAAGATAATGGCAGTTTTTCTTTTAAACCCCCCTCCCTCACCCCTCATTCCAAGTGTCCCTCTTCCCAGAAGGTCTGAGCAGAGTTGTTCTCCAGAAGAAAACTGAACTCCTTTTGGAAGATATCTCTTCACGTTCGCTTGGATCCAGTGTAACAGTTGAAAGCACAGTCTGTCTCCTTTGTGCACAGGTATGTCTTTGATCCAAACGTGGACTCTGTGTCTTTATATATAAGGTGTTAAATAAACTCTGACACAAACGCAGAGTGTTTGTGTTTATCTACATGTTGGTGTATGCATGCAGGCATGGATAGCAGTAACATGTGTGCCTGACTGCATATCAGTGAGTTTTTTTTTTTATGTCATTTATTCTTTTTATGATGTAGGTCTGGGCACTTATTTTTGCTACACGTTTGTGATACAGTGACCAGTCTGTATGTACGTCGTTATAAGATGATAAAAGCTATAAGGACAACAAAATAATATAACGATGCTGAACAAAGGATCTGCAGTGAGAACAGAGCCCTACCAGTGATGGGGTAAAAGAAAAGACATGACAAACACAGCGAACACACCGGTCATCCATCTGCTCCCTGGACTCCTCCAAAACATGAAGCTGCAGAGGTCCAGTCACGGTAGAAGAAAGTAAAACCTCTTTTTGGTAAGAAATGATCCGTTCTTTATCCATTTTCAACCCCTGTCTGCCTCTGTGGGACTTAGAAGACAGAGCCTCGTGATTCTTTTTCATTTCTAGTGATGATTCACCATCAGTGTGTCCAGTTTTCTCAGTTTGCTGCTCTGGATAAGGTTTTAACACAATGCCTAGAAGAAAAGACATAAGCAATGACCAGAAGCAACTAGTCACTATCGACCTGGTATGGGATAGAAAACTATGGATATCAGTATTTAAGCTGATGGGGTGGATTTATTGAGCCATAAGATCCAGAGAGCGTGCCCCAGGGGATCCTGGGGGATTGGGATTTATCCTGGAAATTTAAGCTGCAGCTTAAATAACGTAAAAGTCTTAAAAGAAACATGGCAAAAAAAAAAATAAATAAATGTTCTCATTTGGATTAAGCAGATACTTTAAGTTAAAAACATAAGGGTTGTGATAGCCCTGCTGTCATTGGACACACAGTCCATGTTGGACTGTCACAAAAACAGAGAGCTGTAAATTAAACTTGGTAAAGACCAGATCACTTATACTCAACCTAAAAACAGAGGCTTTAATTTCTTACCATGACTTTATTCTGCTAAATGAAATAAATCACACAAACGAAACCTCCTCCAAACATCTGATAAGAAAGTAAACTCTGGATCTTTGCACACTTTTAAACCTGAACAAAAACAGCCAGCCAGCTGAAGACGACTCTTCCCTGAAGCCCAACACTAAATCCCCCAGTTCAGTGTAAATGGGTTGTGATCTTAATAAATCTAACTTTATAATCTCTGCTGCAGCCATAAAGTCTTCATGTGTTTTAGTATGAGAGGAGGTTTAGTTAGGTTTTGTTACTGTGATTGTGTTTGGATGGATGTAAGGGGTGTTTGTTTAAATCAGAGCACCAGCCGGCGTTGGGACAAATCATCAGCCTTTCCCCTTGTTTCTCCCCCTCTTTCAGGGACTCCCACTTGCAGAAACCTGTGAATCCACCGTCATGAACAGCAGCAACTGTGGCCTCCTCCATCACTGACTTCAAACCCTCCCTGCCCCTCTTTTACAGCCTCAACTCCGACTCCCGTCGTCCCTTCTCCTGTCAGTCTGCCCCTCCCGAGGAGAGAGAACAGAAATGGGGAACGGACTGCTGGACAACCTGAGGACAAAGGAGACAAAAGACTGTTTTAATGTTGCTGTTCTTTATTCCTCTGCACATTTGTTGCATTACTTAGCATTATTAAAAACCTTAAATCTTCTACAGTGGTTTCAGTGTAATAGTTGAGTTAAGGTGTTTCAACAGGCAGAGGGTGCTGTTCATCTGTTAAAGGCATCCCAAGTGTTACATTTTATTTTGTTTTTCTTGGATTTTAGGGAGAATGGGAAAAAAATCCATTGAAAAAATTCACAAAATGATTTGTTTTGGCTTTAGTTTATACTTCAAACCATGGTTTCTTATATACTGTTTGTATACATATTTTTGTGTGTGTGTGGCCATATTTTTTTAGGAATATACTACATTTTGGGGACCTTTAGGTGCTTGTGGGGACCAACGACTAGTCCCCATGTAAATTGGGTATTGGTTAGGTTTAGGGTTAGGTATGTGTTGGTAATGGTTAGGTTAAGGGTCTGGGTTAGGCCATAGAGGTGAGTGAGAAATGAATGGAAGTCTATGGAAAGTCCCAATAGGATAGTGTGACACAATATGTTTATGTGTTTGTGTTCATATGTGTGTATTCAATCATAGGGTAGAGTAATTTTATTAATTTTTAATACATTTATTATTAATGATATTTATTTAATCGCTTTAAATGCATTTTTATTGATTTAATGGGAAGTTTATTCATTTTTTTTAATTATTTAATGCAAGATATATAAAATTTACTAAGATGTAATGTTTACATATTTCATGGTAGACTTATTTACATCCACACGTATTTATTCCATTATATATTTTAGCCCTCCTTATAGCTCAGGGATAACATAAAAATGATTGTTAAAATCACCTCAAACCACCCCCACTTGGTGTTTAATGACCACAAGGGGGTCCTGGGCCCCTATTTGGGAGCCCCTGCTTTCAACTATATTGGGTTCTTATTTCTTTACATTAATCAGTGCATCATAGGTAATATGTCATTCATAATGACTGAAAACACATTGCAATATATACAGATTGTTTAAAAAAAAACACAGCTTGTAGTTAAAAGTCAAATATTACCTATCCATGACGCTCCTTAGGGCTCGCTCTATATTCATTCTGTGCCCCACTCGCGTCACCCCCAGATCCAGGTAGTCTTCCTTGGTCAAAGAGGGCAAATGGCTGCCATCAATCTCATTGTCAAGAAACCGCTCTCTATGCTCGCCAAGGTTGAGGTACGCCAGCCAGTCTGCAACATCGTACTTGGTCCAATAGGGTAACGGCTTGGAAGCAAAAGGCTTTGTGGGGGAAGGGGGTGGTAAGTGGGGATAACTCAGACAGGTAGGAGGCGGGTGGGGGTGCAGGGGTGGAGAGGATGTCCCTGATAGAAAATGGGTTGGGGAAAGAGATCGTGACACCACTAAGGTGGAGTTTGGAGGTGGTGGGGCTCCAGAGGGGGCAAAAAGAGGAGGAGAAGGTGAAAAGTAAGGATCTCCAAGAGGATTCCCAGGAGACGGTGGAGTGATTGAACCACGGAGGTCGTAGATGGCACTGTAGAGAGGTGACGTAGGGAGAAGGGGAAGGGACGATGGGCGGGGTGGCGCCACTTTGGGCCTTTCTGATTGGGATATAAGGGGACTCGGAGCTCGTCTGCGCTGAAGGATGTGAGATTCTGCCTTTCGGGACTCTCGACTTGGGATAAACTGGAACTCCAGGGCTTTGGTTCGGTACACAGGTCTGTGCTTGGGAGATGTAGGGTAAGGGGAATAAGACGTTGGGGACAACGGGGAGTGGGAGCGGGGAGGTTGAGAAGTGGCTGGAGGCTGAGGCGATGGGGAACGCCCCCAGTTTGGGTACTGAGAGGCTGGGGTGGGAGACGGCGATAAAGATGGCTGTGATAAAGAAATTGGAGATGGAGACTGGGAGCGGACTGATGGCGGACTCAGTGCTGAGGCGGAGTCTTCAGAAAACCTGAGAGCAGAAGCATAAAAAAGATGACAGAAAACTACAACAGAGATCCAGCAACAGTGAGATGAACAGAGAAAAAAGTTATATCCAATGTCTTTTGTTTGTAATACACAAATATGTTCAGAAACTAATCTTAAAATAAAATTTTTCTTAGTGAAATTATGATTCAATGCTGATGCAAGAGAGCCGTTGTCACGGCAGTTTATTCCTTTAATAAAATAAGAAAATGCCAACTACTGCTGAAAATGTACCCATGTATGTAAAGAAACATTGAAGACAAAAATGTGACTTAGAAGTGTGTGCAGAGAGTTTCATAGGTAAGCAGCGCTATTATAGTCCTCCAACTCAGCATTTTTTAGTTAAAGGCAGCACAAATTGGTCAATAAGAAGGTAGAGTTTTGGTCTCCTTTCAATCTGATGCTTTTTGATTTGGATTCCATGTTTTACCACTTTGACAGGGATTCTGACACACCCCTCTACTAAAATTAAAAAGCCTTTAGGTTTCTGGAGTGTCAAATGACAACGCAACATTTTTTTTCTGTGGATTCTGCTTACGGTAAATTTCGACCTTTCGAAAGATCATTCATTGACCTTAATACTGTGGTGCATTCACTACTTTGTTGCCTTGGCAGTGTGATTTGGGTGCCCATCATGCTTAAAGACTCATCTGAAAAGGTTTTTATCACAGATTTTAATGGTACATGGCCCACTTTTAATGGTTTATTGACGTAATAATACAATAGTTGAACTGCTTACTGTTTCTACATGGTTGAACCGGATTTGCTTTAGTCAATAAACTGTCTTTAAATTATTTAAATACTCTCCCTTGTAATCCACAATATAATTTTTTTATTGGGGCTCATAAAAATTTAAATCTAATAATGTCATTTTGTTCTCACAGTTGGAGCATTTAGTATCAGGCCGATTTACACCAATCTGTTACCACTTACTCATATTTAAGAGTTGGTAGTGGATCCAGAGTACCCAGAGAAAACTTGAACAAACACAGGGAAATCATGGAAACTCCATATCTACACAAAGATCAGATACTGGGATTTCAAATCAGGATCTTACTGCTACAAGGCAACAGTGCTGCTTACTTTGTAACCTGCAACCTATTACCCTGACAAACAAGGCAGCCACATTCAACCTCCCCTATTCCAAGAAAAAACACATACCGGTAACTAGAAGAGAGCGTTTCTGATAAATTTGTGAAAAAAAGTGGTTGGGTTCAATCAAATGTGCAAACTGAATGAGAGTTTCAATTTTGTTTCAGGTTTAATTTAGATACCAATATTATAACAATGGTTTTCTAAGTTAAATAAGATTAAAACAAAATATATTTTCCATAACAATATTGATTGATATCCAGTGTTTGGAGAATGTTTATAATATTCTGAAGTAGTCTTCATCAAGACTATATATATTTTTTAATCCAATCTCTCTTTTTCAGTTCATTCAATCTCTGTCAGATCTGGTTACGATATTGTACAATGTGAGCTTAAAACATGAAAGACATTCTCAATGGAAGCCAAATACAGATAATAAACAATGAGGGACCTACAGTATCCACTGTGCTGTAACTAGTTCTAGGCTAATGGACGTTAGAGTCCGGTTAGGATGTCATGTTCTGCTGATAGAACAAACTTGCTATTCCTTCAATGAGAAAACAAGTGAAACTTCAGAGAAACAGAAGAAAGTGTTGAGACAAGTTTAGCAAAACCCAGACAGAATTTATAGGCAGAGGTTTGAACATCGTCTGACAGAGGTGAAGAACACTAATACCACATGTTTTTGTAATATCAGTCAAAAATGCGTTTTCTGCAGGCCTTTTTTTCCTATTTAAAGTAAGTCTTCTATATTTAATCCTTATTTTATGATATGGTTAAAAAAAACAGGCTTTCGGACTCCAATAAAATTAGTACATCAAAATAAGTGCACAGTGGTCCAATACTGAATATATAGGAAAACACGATTCATTTGAAAAATCTATGAGATTCTGTACTATTTATATATATAATTTAAAGAATACAAAATAAAACAGAAGGCTAGGTTTTAGTTAATGTGTATGACACTAGTTGCTCTATATATACAAAGTATGAGGGGGTAAAACCGTAACAAGCAAAATAGATGTCATTATTGGGTCAGATGTTGGGTTAGTGCTAGTGATGTTTAATACCACTGACTTCATTTCCTATCTGATCCTGAGTATTATACATGCTGGTGTTAGGGATACTGTTCGAATAATAGGTAAAGAGAGAGCTGAGCGAAAAATGCAAAGCTCACAATTTACTGGATAATGACCAAAAGTACAAGATCCTGGATACAACCAGATGAATGTTGCATGTAACCTAGCTGCTTCTGCAGAGTGCGGTCTGATCGTAGCATTAGTCCAAAATTTCCAAATTAAATGAATAAAGAAAGCATGTATTAATTTCTTCAAGTAATAAATAATGCTTCGAAATCATCAACAGGTGTACTTTTTATGGATTTGGTAGATTACTGTAATTTGATAGAAAAAATGTATAAAGTTTTAAATAAAATTAACCAGATTCATTCTCATTTGTCACCTGGAATGGAAATAACATTCTCTATAAACAATTTCTCCTCTCTACCAACAAGTCTTTGGTAAAAACGTTCCCCTTTCAAACCTAGAGGCACAGTGTGGAATTACTTCAGTGCCCGTGTTTACTTCCTGGTCCCTGAACTAATCATTGTGTTCCAAGGGCTGCCAGAACAGAGTGCAGTTTTCAGTATTTTATGTTGACAAAAGAGCAGGAGCCTTCAAACATGGAAGGCAATCAAAGAAGACGAGAAAAAATCAGCAATACCTAAGAAGCCTTGTCATCCAAGTTATGTAGGATAATATTAACTAAAAAGAGAATCCGGGCTTTCCAAAGGTGCATTGAGGAGCTTCACAACCAACAGGCCAACTAACCGGATAAATTCAGATTGTGGCTTTTAGGGATCAGTACCTACATCAGTATAGGTTGATGTTAGTCATTTTTAATATATTGGTAAAATTGTGGTGACGAAAAAGCATAAACAATAAGATGATGTGAAGTTTCCACCAACCTGTGCCTGCTTAGCGGTCTATGGCTGCTCCAGCTGTCTTTACTTCTTTGCTGCAGTTTGCTGCTCAGCTCGTTAATAATGCTGGGCTTCATGCTTGATGCAGGAGGGTAAATTTTCTTTCCTTCTAAAAAGGACCCTGACTGGCTCCCCCCATCAGCGCTCATCTGACCATCGCCCCAGACTTGCCTCATTTCAGGAGTTCGTGGTCGCTCAAAGTACGGTGATGTTGGACGGCCCAAATTCTGAATGTCTCTCATCCCGTAACCATCTTGAGCACTTTCGTCTTCCCCGAGTCCCTCCTCTACTTCATCATCTACCTGCCCATCTCTTTGCCTGTGGGAGTGGTAGGATGCAGGAGCAGTGCTGGTCTGTCGATGAGGGTCAGCACTGCGATTACCTTCTCTAAACCTGTTGGTTTTTGGGTAGGTGGAAGCTGCTGCTGTTGCATTCTGCATCTCAAAGGTTTGCCCATCAAGGTAGCTCATGTATGACTCCAGAAAGTCCCCTCCTCCTCGTTCTGTTTCTCCTAAACTCCCTCCCATACGCCCATGCCCTCCAGCTCCAACTCTCTCTCCTCGATCCAGCCTGTCTCCTCGGACTCCAGCCCCACTTAGACCCAAAATGCTGTCCAAATGGTGATCACTGCTACTGCGGCTATCAAGTTCCTCAATCCCAGAGTCTACAACTGTTTCCTGGGACTCCCCTTTTTTGGCAGAAGGGTGAGGCCGATGGTGGTCGCTAGTCCTTCCTGTGATGGTGGTGGAGTAAGTTGAATGAGTGGGGTGTGTTCTCTCTTTATGGAACTGACTGGAGGTGGTTGTGGTAGCAGCAGTGGTGGTGGTAGCTGAACAAGTAGCGGTTGTGGCATGGGAAGCAGTGCCTCTGTGTGGGACGGAAGTGGCAGCAGTGCTGGAGGGAGCCAGGGGACCCCGGTAAGCTGGGGGAGGTGCTACCACATGCTGGGGAGGTGTTGGTGATGATCGTCCAGATGTGTGAGTGCTGTTGTAAAGGTGGTGAGACATTGAAAACGGTCTGTGGTAGGACCCAGCTCCAGGAGGAGGTGGAGGTGAGACTGCGGGGGGAGGAGGAGGACCCATGGATGGCTGAAGGGTTGAAGGTGAAGAAGGCGGTGGAGGATTTGGTGATGTCTGAGAAGGGGAAGGAGCAGACTGAGTCAGATTTGCCACCTCGCTGTCATATGATGTGAGGCTCGATGCAGTGGAGTCCCCCGCCTGAGGAGAGTGTAGAGGTGTATGGGCTGGAAAGCTGCTGATATAATGTTCTTTTTGTGGAGGAGGTGGGGGTGGTGGAGGTGGAGGAGGTGGTGGAGGAGGGGGAGGGACTTGCTGTTGCCGATGGATCAGGCTGTTGGAAAGCATTCCATGTTGGGAATATCCTGATATTCCCCTGTCAAAGCTATTTGCAAACTCCAAAGGTGGAGGGAGAGGGTCCGCGTAGACAAATTCATCATCTGCATCAACTGAGGGAGCAGGAGGAGGAAGAACCATCAAACCTGTTCCAGTGTTTTTAGAGGTGTTTGCTGCCTGTTGGGTATTGGTTGGTGGAGGAGAAGGAGGTGTGAGGGACAGGATATAAGCATCAGCTTGACTTTCCATCCTGAGAAACGAGGGTCTTCTGGGCTGCTGGCCTGAACTTTCCACAGCCTGCTCTGCACGCCTCATGTAACCTTCTCTCTCTTTATCCCTCTCCCTCTCCCTCTCCCTCTCTCTAGAATGTTCTCTTTCCCTTGACCTGTCACGCTCCTTATAGGATGGCTGATATGGCTGAGACTGATAGTGGTGTGTATGGACCGTTTTGTCCTCAGAGAACCGAACTCTAAGACCCTCACGAGCTCCACCCCCTTCACGCTCACGGTCCCCACCTTCTTCCCCCCATGTACTACCTACTCCCCTGAGGATTCTTGGCGAGGGTGGACGACCAACTGTGGGCGTGGTAGCTGCCAAAGAAGAAGAAGTCACCAAGTAAGAGCTTGAAGACTGCGTTGTTGATGATACTGGCTGAGTGGTGACACCGGATGAAGGGAACACCATGCTTGACATTTGGCGGGTCAAGAGATGTTCTGTTCCCCTCCGTAACCTGCTGTCATCCCTCAGGGCACGCTCCCTGGCAGCCAGGGCGAGGCCCAGAGGTGATGTGGGGTCGAGTGCCTTCCCAGTTAAAGGATGAATAAAAGTGGTGTTGGAGGAGGAAGATGGTTGTCTGCCTGCTGCGGTGTACAGATCAGCAGGCACAGATTTGGGCTGATAGTCCAGGGCCGTAGAGGGATACTCTGGTAGGCCAAAGGCTGGAGGCATACTCCGGGTGTGTTGGATAAAGGTGTCTGCAGAAAACATGCCCTCATCAATAGACTTGGAAGGGCGCAGTCGTGTTGATGAACTTTCAGGTTGATTGTTTAACTGCTGCTGAGACACCTGAGATCTTGAAGCTCCTCCTAATGCTTCACTTATCCCAAGACTCAGGTCCTCCTCAGCAGACATGAATAAGGAGGCACTCTTTCGACGGGCTTCAAGAAATCGCTCCCTGTCTCGGCGAGCTGCGCCAACAATAGCGGCCCCAAACTGGCTGGTAAAGTCCAGATTTTCCTGGGCTCGAATAGAAGGCAAAGATGGAGGTGGGGGTGCTGGGATGGATGGTGGTGCAGGTGGCTGTGGAGCAGGAGTGGATGGAGGCGGGCCATGAGGTGTTTTTGTATCACTTGTCTCCCCCGACGCTGGAACATCAGCCTCTACACTGCTGCCCTGGCTGCTCCGTCCACTGCTGCTGGTTGAGGGAGCTTTTACAATAATGGTGGGGATAGGAATTGAGCTTTTCTCCACAGAGTCTTTGCTCCCTAGGCTTCCCTGACCTAGACGCAGCTCCTCTATCTTAGATTGCTTTACTAGAGGCCCTTTGCCTCTTCTGGCCCCTCCTTTGGGGCCACCTGCCGCAGGTGCACTGCGGTCTGCCCGCTGGGGTTGACTCTGGGTGGTCTGTTGTTGCTGGGGCATTACAGTAGCAATGCTGGACGGGGGCACAGCTGTGCTATAGCCTCTCCTTAGGCCTGCTGATTTAGTTCCTGTGCCAGCCCCGATCCCAGCTCCAACAGACTCCCCAGTATAGGCAACCTTTCGCGATGCAGTCCTGCTTTGAGCTGTATGAGAAGCTGCATGTACATAAGGAGTTGTGTGGTCTGCTGCTCCACCAGCAGTGCCAGTGGTGGAACCACCCACCCTCTCCCTGCCACCCTGGCTCAGGTGTCCTGACTGGGAGAAGGGCTGGTAGTGTGCAGAGCTAGACGTTGACTGGGACACAGAGACAGAGGACTGCTGGGATGACTTCGTTCTCCAGCCGATCAGTGGGGCGGAGGAGAATGGAGGTTCGGGGGGAGCTGTCGTAGGAGGAGGGGGAATATCATCTGGACCAGGCACTGACAGACTCCGTGCAAACTTAATTGCAGGAGGATGCAAAAACTGCTTCTCCTCCTCAGGCACACCTACAGTACAGGGACAAGAACAATCAAGAGGAAAACATCAGTTAAGAGGTTACAGCTATTAACAAATATAAACAAACTGTTTCTTTGGAGGTAAGTAAAGTTGCGATTGTCTGTCTGAATCTGCCTGCCCGACAAAGTCTGTCCTCAGCTCCATGATTTGCAGAACTGTAGATATATCACTGCTAGATATTTCTCAAAGAATATCAGAATGCACAGCATAGAAAAACATACAATCCCACTGCATTGTATGGATATTTACTACTTTTTCATGCTTTAACAACAAATTTCTTGAATTCATTCTTGCATTTTATGTGATAAATAAAAATTGGGCATAATTGTGAAGAAAAAAAATACTCCTACTTTGTGTTGTGACTCTAGATTCAGCTGTGTTTACACTATGAGTTTTAACCGCTTTATGCCCATTGTTGCAAATATGCAACGTATTATGTACGGAGTCAAATAGCATGTGTTTTCCCCCAATGGAAAGATATTACACATTTAGTGTGGACCTAGGAACCTCTTGTATCTATTATAACCGGCCCCTCAAAATGTCTGTTATAAGTAACTGTTATAAATATTGTAATAAATTTGATATAGACCTACATTTATATTTATATTTAAATTGATAGAAAGTTTAAAAACTTCAATTTGGCAACTACTTTGGCTTGACCTGGCATCAGACTGCTGGACCTCTGAGACTGCCTGTACCTGGGGTTTTGCTGTTTTTCAGGTGTGAGTGAGCTTCCTGTTACAGAGAGGATCTTTGCTGGTGGCTGGGCTGACCTGTGTTGCAAGATGACTAACTAACTACTTCTCTGCCTAAATCTGCATGTGGGAACTACAAGCCAACATGACATTTACATTTTTTTTTTCTTTCTGTCAGCAGCAGAGTCAAACAAACTGTCTTTTATCAGTGATATATCTAACTCCATTTTTAATCAAACTGAACTCCCTCTGATTGCAGATAACTTATGTTTAAACCACACACGCAAGCAGAACTATAACTTCATAAGAAAATAAATCGGATTAAGTACATTTACAAGAGGTATTTATATAGTACAGATACAGGTGGAGTACATACTTTGGGCCACAGACAAGACATTGTCGCATACAAAGGTCAGAACATCTTGAAGCTTTACTGGACCAGAGGACAGACAGACAGGTGGACGAGGGGCAGACGGAAAAAAAACAGACAACCTCACCGATGGATTTCTGCCGCAGCATACCGTGCTGTGGGGCGTGACCAGAGCTATACTGTCCACGCTCGTAGCCAAGTCCCAGTCCTGACATCATCCCCATCCCAGACTGATCACCGTAGTTTGGCTGAAACAATACAAAACATTTTGTACTCGAAATGCACTTTAACACTTCCACATATTTTTCCCTTTTGAAATTATAGACTTTTCCAGCCTTAATGTTTAAACCGATCTAAAGTTTGTGTTTAGAAGAAATCATTTTAATGATACCCAATACAATCTATACATCTCTTGTCTTTACACGCTAATGCTTACAGGCATAGTTACAGTGAACAGGTCACCAGTCCATCACAGGGCAACACAAAGACACAGAGTAAACAACCCACACAAATCAATTTTAAGAAACAAGTTTAAAAAGAACAAATAAATACACAATAAGTATATAATCTTAAACCCACAATTAAATTAAAAAAAGTGATTTTACTGATTAGTTAAATATTCTGTTTATGAAGATTACATTTGTGGCAAATCTGGATTATTTCTGTGAATTTATGGCATTATTGGGCTTCCATAGCTCAAAGTTATATGAGTTTATCACCTTTTGTTCTTAGATTGCACACTCATACCTGGTCAACTAGGTCACTATGTGATACCAATAACTGCAAATGTTAAGGCAAGGCAAGGCAAATTTATTTGTATAGCACAATTCAGTACAAAGACAATGCAAAGTGCTTTACATGATTAAAATACAGGTAGATAAAACAGAATCAAAGCAAGTAGGAAAAAGGTGGTTAAGGGTGGTTTACTTTCATTTGCTGACTTAAAACAGTTTAAATTTAGTTTCACTTTAAATTAAGGTCCCCTCCTAGAAGGGATGGTTGTATTTTTCTATAATGAAATTTAAGAAAACATTTTTTTTTTTCAGATTTGAGAGAAAAATAGTGTGACCAGCTTTATCTCCAATGAATTGGATTTTACTTCCTCTGATCTTCTAGAAAAAAACAAATGTAATCATGAATCTTATTAATTCTTTGTCTTTTATAGCTGCTCTAATTCTCTGGAGGCAGCAACTTCACTAATAAAGGACCATATTCTTTAAATATCAGGAACTAACAGCGAACTGAATGAGATCTAGATAGTTTTCACCTCAGAAACATTATCATCCTGAAAATCATTTCATCATCACCATATCTACTTATAATAAGAATGATAATGCCACCTGTGGCCAAAACATAGAACTTCAGCACTCTTCTGCTCGTTCTAATAGCTTTCACTCATACTTGACAATTACTTTTTTTTTATTGACTTTTTTTTCACCTTACCTGGATTTCCCTTTGATGTCTGAGTTGAGCTGGATGCTGATCGCTTCTGAGTATTCACAAAATCTATCTTAAATATAACACTTTGATTGCTTGGACCCATTTAACATGGACAGGCTTGACATCCGCTGAACAGCGCCGCAAGTTACGACTCAAAGTAAATTCAGGAAAATAGGCTACAGGCTTCTAGGTGTATTGGCGCTGAACTACAGAGGTGTTTAGTCTGCTACTCTAATCATATTTTAGTCATAAAGGGTCAAATAAACAGACAATTTTTAATATATTGTTCAGTAAAATCTACATAATGTCTCTTTTATAAAATGACTAAAGGGCCGTAAGTTTTAATGTTTGTTTTTGTTGTTTTTTTACAGTCAACATGACCATCTAAGCCGCCCGTTGACATCATCACTGTAGATAAGCTGTGGAGATTCACAGCAGCGAGTCACAATGTTTCAGTGGGATGGCACCAAATTAACCATCCAGCATTTTCACCTTTCACCTTTGCCAGTGCAGAGCCCAGATTCATTTCTAAATACCACAAATGCGTACAACCACTGTTTTACATGCATGAATGTCCCTCTATTACCCTCTAGAACTTGCTTTTAGTTGATCTCCTTCAGCTGAATTTTTTCATGCAGCATTTCCTATTTCCAAGGCCTTTTGTTCTGGGGGGGGCTTTTGGATCCTTTCTCGTTTCCTCTTAAATGTTTCCTTCTTACTTTTTATTAAAAATTGTATAGCCAGTTTTCTGGAAACAACCAAAATCTCTCGCCAGACTTGTTTGATTTGCAGAGATTTTGGATCCTTTACCCTGGTTCAGCTAGCAGCTCCATTTCTGGCCGACGTTTTCTGTCAATCAGACAGCTGCAACTGTACATTAAGATGTTAAAAAAAATTCATAATTTCATTAAAATGTATGCTTAGGTGTCCATATTTGTAAAAAGTCGATATATGTAATTAAAAATGACATCACATGTTTAAGAAGTTTAAAAAGTTATAAAGTTATAGAAGATATACGAACAAATCACACATTTATGAGTACCCCTGATAAAGCTGTTGGTGGCGGTAATGCACCGCAACTGCCTTTTTTATAAAAAAAAATGGAAAAAGACAAAAACAGACCTACTGATTAAACTTTATGCTATGTATGCGTGCCTTGAAAACAGCATTTCTGCAGAGATATAATGTTGATCAGTGCTTTTGTTTTAGTATTTGTTTCATGGTGGTTGGTGAACAACCCTCAGGTGCATAAACTGTTAAGGGATGTAACACCTATAGTCTTATACTTGATTTATACTCATAAATTTGTAATTGGTACTTATAGGTTTGCAAAGTGTAACTTTTTAACTACATGTATCTGATATCGTTGAGTTGACGAGAAACAAGTAAAAATCTTAAATCTAATTACGAATATCGACTTACATTTACAAATTTAGACATCTACGAATTGCAAATTGCGGGATCAGTCATTGTTTTTCTATCCACTTGATCTGAAAAATCAATTATTATAATCTTGGAAGTAAAGTTTGCCCATTAGAAAAAGCATTTGACTAAAAGGCTGAGTGAAAATTCACAAAAAGCAGCGATTTCATATCTTTTCCCGTAGATTTATCAATGTCACAAAACAAACCTCATTTCCGTAGAAACTTCGTCCCCTGTCCCTCTTTGGCCCCTGTCCCCGTGTCCCAGAAGCCTCGTTGGTGTTGATTGTCTGCTGAGCCGCTGCAAGAATTTCATCGAGTTTATCTGAGAGGGAAAAAAGAAGGAAAGAGACAGACAGAGAGACGGGGAGAGAAAGAGACGTACCAGGATGAAACAGAAAAATGGACAGCAATAAAACAGGTAGAACCCTGGGAAAAAGGTGACAGGACATATGATGGGGTTCAGAAGAACTGCAGGATATACTAAAGCAGCATCTTACTCAAAGCCATCTGATAAACTGTCCTCTTCTTCTCTGAAACTTGCGAGGATTCGAATTCTGAGAGAGAGGAAGACAAAGAGGCCAGTGATTGATGGGTCATTTTAGACAGACATAAATGCTTAGCCTTTAACCGGGGGTGCACCAGAGCATACCTGATTTTTTTTTCCAAGGGGTAGCAGCTGGAAGGAGGACAAAAGGAGACTTAAGTTTTTGGCAGGAGTGAAAGTGTGTTGCTACAGAGCATACTAATCATATTCCCCAGAGCTTGACGAACTGAGTCACCCTGTGAAAAACGCACATTCACACCCCCGCAGCACGCAACCAAAGCATGCACACTCATGTTACAGTAAACAGGCTGCAAACACATATGCTGTGCTTTCACGCGAACATGGACTTTAGGGCTGGAGCCCACTCCCACCTCTCTCCACTGTCAAACGGTTAGGATCCGGTCAGCGGGGCAGCGAGCACAAAGGAGACAGAGGAAGAGGCAGAGTTAGTGGTTAACCCAGCTAACGGAGGAGTTTACAAAAGTGGGGAAGAGGAAGAACTTAAGGTGACCCTTACATTCACGGGTGTGACTGAGGTTTGGTGTAAATACAATAGAAATGGGTTTTTAAAAAAGGGAAGCGCATGTTTTTACTGCCACTAACTTCCTCTAAACATACTTGGACAACAATCTCCTCGATATTACAGCCAGTTTAAAGACCCCATGTGCCCTGCAGGGTCATTTCCATTTTAATGTTCTTGTTATCTTGCTGCTTGACTTATAGGTGAACTGGGACACTGCACCAATCACAGAGGTGAGAAAGCTGAACAGGTGCCACAGTGAAATGAATTCATTAGCATCAGAATCAGCGTATGGCAGCGGCTTACATTGCTTCGTCACACTGGGTGCTCTTTTCACCTTGATTCAAAGAAGAAAACAAGCATTTCAAACCTTACTTTGTCTTACAGATTAAGCATCTTTACTTTTATGGCAATTCAATTTAGATGTTTATATTTTCTGACCCAAAAATTTATATTTAGACTTTATAATTTATTATTTAATGTTTCTCCTGCTTGTGAATCATGTTTAAATCTACTGTAGCATTTGGGGTCATAGCAACGTTTTAACACCATTTCATTAAATATGTGCCTGTTACAGTTAGATTTAGCTAATTAAACACATGTAATTTCATATCTAGAACCAAGTTATGTTTTATTAACAGTTTAATCTATACATTGAATACTAATTTATTATGTTTTGTTTTACATGTACATTAAAGCTTGAGGCTTGTAACGGGTTAAAGATCCCTACAGATGAACAACATAGTCAGGTAGTAAAAAAAAAAAAAGAGCCAAATTAAGACTATAAAAAGTACCAGCTCACAAGAAGCGAAATAGGCTTTTTGTCTTTGGACTAAATCTGTGAATATTTCAGTTTAAAAGTTTCAGTTGTATTCAGTGAGAGGGGTGACATCAGAAAATGGGGTTGGTGGGGTTCGGGAAACCCGTGTCTGTCTGTATGATTGGTCTTTCATGCTTTGTGCAGATCAGGTGAGGTCACAACACCATAAGAAGGCAGGTAAGAAGAGGAGACGTGGAAAACAACTATGCAGATGGTAGAGTTGCAGTCAAGACCACCAAGACCAAGGAGTACCGAGACTGAGGCGGAGACCTTGGTCTCGGTAGGTGTGGTTTTTACTACGACACTAGCAGAGGGTTTATCTTAAAGGGATAGATCAGGATTTCTGAAATCAGGTTTTGTTAAAAGCTAATATCTCACTTGCAGAACATGATTCTCTTTATTTGCTATAAAGTCACATAAGATTATCCAAAAGTTAACTGAAGAAGGCCACTTTATAAAAATCGGCAACTATTTTCGTGTTTGCATCAGGTGGTTAATCACTCAGAAGCTGCTCTTTATTTTCACAGAAAATGCAGGTTAGGACATGCTGCCAATAATGACCTCCCTTGTTTAAACCATATACTGTATGTAGAACAGAACATATCAATACTTTTTAGCTCACAGAGGCTGAAAAATACAGCAGTGGGATGGGGTTTCAGTGTTGCTGATTTTACAGTTTTTTTCTTTTGCCATTTTATTTTCCAATCATGTTCAAAACAAACACGATAAACTAAACTAAGTATGTTTAACAAAGTTTTAAACTGCCGGTTCTTTTCAATTAAGTACTTCGACTTTAAAAAACCTCAGTTTTTGGTATGTTACCCTAACCCAAAAGAAAATTGTTCGTAGTACACCGTCTAATATAACCAATCTTTAACTTCTTTGTATGTAGATATTTGCCCCCTGACATATTTCTTCTGTTTGTTCACACCTAATATCCCAGGTAAATACAAAATGTAGTTTTTAAAATGACGATGCAGTCTATTGAAGGAAAAAAAGGGGATTCTGACCAACCTGGTCATGTGTGAAAACGTAAATGACCCATAACACTTTGTTAGATCATGACTTAATTGTAAGATACCCAATCTTCCTATAAAGAGTGGAACCTTAAACCTTCTAGGATAAAATCTTAAGAATGATAACAGTTTCAAAGAATACGGAAGAGGTATAGTATGGGAAAAAAGTCAGAATTCGGACTTTTTCTCAGAATTCGGACTGAATTCTGACAATAAAAAAGTCAGAATTCTGAGATTAAAGTCAGAATTCTGAGAAAAATGTCAGAATTCTGAGATTAAAAACTCAGAATTCTTAAAATCAGAATTCTGACTTTTTTCTCAGAATTCTGATTTTAAGAATTCTGACTTTTTTCTCAGAATTCTGACTTTTTTCCCATACTAAACTGAAATAAAATTTAAAAATCAGTTAACTTTTTTTTCCCCCACTGGCCCTAATCCTCTTCCGTAAGAGAAACTGGGATTTGCTGTAAAAAAAAAAAAAAAGTCCAAGCCAAAAAAATCAAGAACACCTCTAGGAACCACACAGTTTGAAGAATTTAAACATTTTCTTTAAAGCAGAATGGGTCAAAAATGGTAATATGTTTTTTAAAACATAATTTAAAGAAATTATATTTGTGTTTTCTGTAATGTTTAAGAGTAAGATAAAAAAGCAATGACAGAATAAAGCAGTAATGGGGGGAAATGCTTTTTCATGGGCAACACTGCAAAGCTAAGGACAGTTTAAAAGTTCACAAAATATTGTTTTGATTGGAGTTTAGTTTTGGCCACTCTTCAACTATATGTACATTTATCCTGTAGGACCCGCTAACATAGGGAGAGTTGATCTTTGCAGGTAAGATATTGACTGTTCACAAGCCTATTACAGAACCTCACTTTAAAAAGAATCTCCGACCATCCCTTCAAGTTTTATTTAGTTGTTAGCAGTTTAGAAAGTCCATCTGACTGTAGCAGCTTCTCTTTTATAAATCAGCAGGTGCTCACTGAGCATGCTCAGAACCACCCAGCAGAAGCGGTAAACACAAGAAGATCTAAGCCATCCACAATTAAAACACTGGCAAACATTATGATCTGCGAGTGGGGGCGTTGACCCTCGCTTTGCACTCTCCTCCCACAATTTTGCCTCAAATAGCGATGGCTTAGCCACACATAATGCTGTTACCATAGGAACAGACCAGGAGCAAAGTTAAATTACTCATCTCAATAATTTTATTCTTGGTAGGATTTCTTCCAAAGGAATTAGCAGAAATGTTCAGCATCAGATAACAAAAGCAAAAAGAAGCAGTTTAGACTGTTAGTGGGACCTCTCCTCAAGTGACACCCGTCCTCTAAGAGTGTTTAGTTGTCCTCTGGAGATAAAGAGGGCCAGGGAGGAGTAGGGGGTGCAGGAGGTTAAAGGTAAGAGCGGGCAGTGAGAGAGGGATCACACGGTGGATGGCAACACTTTTCTGGGTGGGGTTACCTGTAGTGGGGGTGCTGGTAGTGACAGTGTGGAACCTCTGAAAAAACAGTGAAACGTATTGAGACCATCATCTGACACCAGTCATCTTTGGCTTCTTCCTGCAACTAAATAACTGCCGTCTTAATTTATACCTCGCTCAAGTTGGCTTCACACTTTCAGAATCTTTAACAACCCTCAGCTCTGCCTTCACGCTGCCTCCATCAGTCCTCATTACCTGAGTCTGTTTCTAACCAGCAAAACACCCTCCTTCTTTCTCTACATCTCCATAGCAATATGCTCCATCATCCTCCTGCTTTAATCTGCCAAAAAAAAAGCTAAATTAAGCTTGATTCTCACCCATCTCCTCCAGCTCTGAAGTCATTGATTTGGAGCGCAGAGCGATAGCTGGGGTGCTCAGCCTCTTGCTCTGCTGTGGGACTGGAAGACAGAGGAAAAGGCAGCTGTGGTCAGTCAAGCTGCTTAACATGAAGTTTCAGTTATCATGAGTGATTTCAGCGACTCTTACTTTTCTTCCTTGAGCCTTCCTCCATATCAGGGTTGCGGGTTACCATGACAACCTTCACCATGAGGCTGTTGCCGCCCTGCCGGATCATATTGACAACCTGCCGATGGCCGACCTTAACAACATTCTGACCATTTACCTAAGAAATAAACAATTCGATTTTAATAGAATTTTTTAATGTTTATATCTAATATGAATATCAAAGGATTAAAATGACAAAAACATAAAGTTTGGCGGTCCTGATTGGGCTGATTCCTTAGGAGACACACTCATGAAGTCCAGTTTCTAAAGTAGGAAAGCAACACCATTTTATCACACTACCAACTCCATGTTTCACTGTCAGTATGAAGCTCTTTTTTCAAATACTATGCAGATGTAAAGCCACAATTCTGTAAACCTTTGTCTTGTTTGTCCAAAGACTAGTTATCTTACAGTACAAGTATTAAAGGTATAGTGGATGATGTTCTTTTTCCAGGTGGATCATTAAAATAAGTGGACCTCCTAATTGTCAATCATTCTGGTGATATGTTTAAGTTTAGCCATCCTACAGTATATGCTCACCCCCATTTTCACTTACAGCTGGCAAGTCTGACATAGTAAGAAAATGTTTAAATCTTCTTCTGGAAGTAAGCTTGTATGAGCGATGCAAACAGCAACTTTTAAACAGAGCATGCATGAGGTGAAACGGGCTCCTGCAGGCTCTCGCATGCGTTTAATAGGCGTTCCCTCTTGGGAGCGGGGTTGTGCATTTTTTTTTTAATGAAGAGGGTCTTTTCAAAAATTCGGGAAAATCCTCCACTATACCTTAAAGAATTAACCAAATGATAAACAAACCCTGGGAAATAGATACTGTTATAACAATATCAGTGGCAATAAAACCATCCATCCATCCATTTTCAACACACTTATCCCAAGTGGGCTCGCAAGGGGTGCTCTTGCCTATCTCCAGCTGCCAACGGGCGAGAGGCGGGGTACATCCTGGACAGGTCGCCAGTCCATCACAGGGCAACACAAAGACAAACAACCATTCACACACACACTCACACCTAAGGGGAAATTTAGAGAAGCCAATTAACCAAACAGTCATGTTTTTGGACTGTGGGAGGAAGAAATCACTGGTTTCCCATGTTATTGGTTGAATAGATGCTGTATTAGAGCGTAAATGGGAGACTTTTATTGTGAAATTCACTCCGGGGTATGTTTTGAAAAGGTACCCGGATAGTACTCAGGGAGAACATGCCTGAAAAAGACCCCGGGCCGGGAATCAAATCCAGAACCTTCTTGCTGCAAGGCAGCAGTGCTACCTGACTGCTCAATTGGCAAAACATTACATTAGCATATTAAAGGCAAGTTGGAGTAAGTTTGCCAATAAGTATTGAACTCCAATCAGGGATTTATGACATGACCATCACAGACATTGATGTTGTAATGAGGATATCTTCCACAAAAGCCTTAATTACTTAATCTTCAGAAGACAGAACGCCCCGGAAAGCTGCTGCACCAGATTCTGTCTCTCCATCCAACTTGAAGCACTGTGCTGATCAGCTTTCTCCAGTGTTCACAGACATTTTTAACACCTCAGTGACAACATGTTGCGTTCCATCCTGCTTCAAATCTTGCACTATTATCCCTGTTCCCAAGAGGTCAAGTTCCACAGGACTTAATGACTTTAGACCCGTTGCCCTGACCTCTGTGGTTATGAAGTTCTTTGATCACTTTTTGCTTTCACGCCTGAAATAGATCTGTGACGGCCTCCTGGACCCCCTACAGTTTGCCTACAGAGCCAACAGGTTTGCAGCTCTTTACTACATCCTCCAGCAACTGTATTCTGCAGGTACCCACAGTAAGATCCTGTTTGTGCTGCCAACTGTTCTTCAGGAGAAGCTCTTCTGGCTGAGTGGGCCTGACTCCACCTGCAGGTGGATTACAGACTTCCTGTCTGACCAGAAGCAGCACATAATTCTGGGAAAACATGTCTCTGACTCCCAGCTCATTAGCACTGGTTCCACCCAGGATGTGTACTTTCTCCTCTGCTCTTCTCCCTGTACCACAACAGCTGCACCTCCATACATCAGTCAGTCAGAACTTCTTCTGAAGTTCATGGATGACACCACTCTCATCGGACTTATCTCTGATGGTGATAAGTGGTTCTGATTGTTCATCTGGCGACCTGGTGCAGGGAGAACAACCTGGAGCTCAAGGCACTAGAAACAGTGGGGATGGTTGTGGACCTCAGGAAGAACTCAGCCCCAGCTACCCTCATCATACTCTGTGACTCCACAATAGACACTGTGGAGTCTTTACGCTTCCTGGGAACTATCATCTCACAGCACCTAAACTGGGAGCTGAACATCAACTCCCATACCAAGAAAGCCCAGCAGAGGATGTACTTCTTGCGGCAGCTGAAAAAATCCAACCTGCCAAGGACAATGATGGTACACTTCTACTCCTCCATCATCAGAGCGTGTGTTTGGGTGTCTCTCCAGGACTCTGAGGTGTGCAGAGAAGATTGTGGCTGATCCGTCACACCCCAGCCACAAACTATTTCAGGCAATTTCCTCTGGCAGGAGGCTGCAGTCCATCAGGACCAAAACCTCACATTCATTGTTTCAAGTGGAAACCCTACTTGGCAATTAACTTGATTCTGATTCTGATTATGGCAGATGAGAAATGGGATTTTATGGAGTTTTTCCCATTTGGTCAATGGAGGCTTTCACCTGGCAACTCTTATATAGATATAGATTTTTTTAATCATGACCTTTAGCTCTTTAGCTTAACTGAAGCAAGTGAGACCTGCAGTGTTTTAGATGTTAACCTTAGAAATGCATTCGGTCTACAGCCCCTTTGAAGAAGATAAGATATAACTAATCTTAAATCTCGAGTGCTCGTTGCACGGTGGTAAGTGCGCACAACCCATGTACGGATGGATGGATAATCTTAAATCTCATCCTTCCATGGACTCATTTAGATAAGAGCGTAGATGCTTTTAAGATCTTAAGAGGCAAAATCAGCTTTATGGGCCCAATGTTTGTGTGAAAGGAAAAAAAAAAATTGACTTTGGTTTCACAAACTACTGCTTACAGAATAAACTTTGATAGTATAAGAAACTAAGGAATATGTTTCTAAATATTATAAATAAAGCCTACTACGGGTCAGACAGTAAGCAAGGTATATGTTGAGGTTAAAAGCAGATTAGACATGAAGACACACGGGAAGAGAAACCACTCACACACTCATACCTAAGGGTGATTTATAGTAACCAATCAATCTAACAGTCTTGTTTTTGGACTGTGGAAAGACGTTGGAGTACCCAGAGAGGACTCAGGTGTACATTGGGAGAACATTCAGACTAGTAAAAACACTCCAGGCTGGATTCAAATCCAGGCTTCTTTACAACCAACTGTGTCTCCACACAACCAAGTGTTCATATCATCCTTATGGTGTTTGGATAAATGATGTCAGTACCTCTATGAGAAAATCCCCCATCCTGAGACCAGCTCTCCAGGCCACACCGCCCTCGTCCACCGATTCCAAATACTGCAGGGCAGGGAAGGCTGGAGTGGGAGTGAACTCTTCAATAGGAGTTTGAGCTGCATACACCGAAGGATATGAAGATCAGCATTAGGTTTGCAAGAGGAGGTTGAGAAACTACTTTATTACTGAGAATGAATCAGTGTGACGACTTTCTGCTTCAAATTTCCTACCTTTGGCCCCTCTAAGCACAAAGCCAAATCCTTCACTGTCTTTTTTCTGCAGAAGCACCGTCTTCTCTTTGATTATGTAGTCACTAGCAGAGAGAGGAGATGAGTCAGAGAGTTAGAAATATTACAAAACAGAAAATAAAGAGAATTCAGAATTAGAAAGTCCTTCAAGTTAAAGACACTGGCACAGCTTGGAGCTTTTTAATGGAGGTCTTTACTTTTTTCTGTCCATTTAGCTGTATTTCCACCCAATATGTGAATAATACTACTGGACCCACAAAACAATGAGCACTTTTTACTGAACTGCTAAGCCTCCTCCATCTGTGAGTTGGAAAACAGTTGGCTTTAAATTCAGCAACACCATAAAGATGTTAGCCTGTTAAACTAAACTAAATGTGAGATTTTTGCCGCTGGCGGGTGGGGCTAGTTTACTAGGCTATAAAGATGTGTATTTGGGCATCAGTGACAGGATTACTACAGCTTTGTCACTGAGAATTTGAAAACCAACCGACTTGTCCAAAAGCAAATGCTCCACCTCGTCATGGCAGCATTGTGGCTGTATATTGGCATGAGCCTTATTCACCTTGCTGCATCCTGATGCCGACCATGAGAATCCTGCAATGCCAGTACCATAATGCTGTAAAGATTTGTTTTAACAGTTGTACACGTGTACAGAGCACGGTCAGCACACAAGGTGATAACAGCTTACAGCCAATAGCTTAAAAAGAACTGATCTGTGGATTACTTATAGTCTATTGCCTTTTAGAAACTGCAAGGTATGGGCTTCCAAAAGGAGATGAGGGGCTTCTGCAAAATGAGCACCTTTTGGAATTAAACTTTAGATGAATGTAGAATTTATGCATTTGAAACTTAATCTGTATGCTTTAATTTTACTGGAATTAATTTGATTGATTTAAACTGAAATAAGAAACTAAATTCTGTATAACTGGACATAAGCTGGATCTGCTTGTTTTGTGAGTTTACTAAAATGATATATGTTGTGATGTTGAGGTACATAGTTAATCCATCCAGGTTCAGTTAAGTCCTCCCTCCATTCCTGCCTTATATGAGCTTGTATATTGTAGGAAATGATGAGTAAATGAAAAACTGAACAGTTGTGTTCCGTCAGTTAATGTTGGTGCTACCCAGTCACAAGCAATGTAATCTTAGCTTCTTCATTCATATCCAGACTAAAAGTCAAATCAATTTAATTCAGGCATTTTCATAAAGACAGATTTAATTATACACACTCTATAAAACAAACAAGACTGATCATATGATCACAAATGGTAAAATATCACTTAGAGAACCCAGGATGATTGCATAGAGTGAAAAAGTTAAAAACGTCCCACAACTTTAGAAACCAAAAAAATATTATCTTTGCATTTTTTTTTTAAGTTTCATTGAATAATATCTCATGAAGAGAATCAAAAATAGCTTGTATTGTTGGTCAAACATGATCTTATATTTAACTGGGAATTTATTTTTTTTCCTGTGTTTTCTGAAAAAGTTTGTTTTTTGTTTTTTTAGGTATAAAACTTTTGTCCAACAGCAACAACAATCCTGGATCTCACAAGTTCTAACTCCTAGAAACTTACAAAAATATTGTCATTATTTCAAGCATTTTCTTTTGTACATCTGCATTTTATATCTACTTAATCTAGTCATTCAGCTAGAAACAAAAAAGGTAGACAGACAGTATTCCAGCCTTATGAAATCAAGGAATGAGGTTTTACAATTTTGAATAAGTCTATGGACATCTCTATTTCGGTTGGAAATAAGCAACGCGCTACAGATCAAGGCTATTCAGAATAAGGTGTACATAAAAAATGTTTATATGCTGTTGATTCTGGGATTAGCTGTGCTTCTCATTCCTGAATGCTTCTGACAGTAAACCCGATGCCAGTTTTTACCAGGACCAACTGCAGGAAATGCTATATACAGTACTGCTTGTTGCCTCAGCAACAGCTAGAACTGGACACAGGGAAAGTTAGGTAGGTCCAAACAGAGCCAAGATATGTATGGTAAACTATTAGTCACACACAGCAGAGAACAGGAGCTGCATGTTTAAAGGCGGAGCTCACTGTGCGACTGTAAAACAAGGTGGAATATATGCTGTAATGAAATTTGCATTTACTCAACCTAAATGATTATGAGGTGCTTTAAGAAATACGTTTCTTGACTCTCAGTTGTTCTTGTCTTCAGCTTTTCTGGTCAACACAACCCTCTCTAAAATTAAATCTGTGGCCAAAATTTCCGCTACTTTTTATGAAGTTTTACAAGACTGAGCAGTTTTCATGAAAATGGCAAATTTTTCATCTTCTTCAATACTTTATGGTTTAACAATGGGATTCCCAGTGAAGTTGAGGGGCGATGGCATCCCCCTTCTTAAAAAAAACATCCTCCCCTTCTTAAATGACCATCCCTCCATACCATCCTCTGTGACATTTTATTACCGAACGTATTACAATTCCTATATATTGACAGTAATGGCAATAATGTTGCCCTTTCAACATTTAGCGAGCTGAGGGCTTACGAGTAGCCTGACCTAAAAAATAAAGTCCAAGAAGTGTCCTACCATGACTATGAAGCTGATCCCAGAGGGAAATGTGTCCTCTGCATCAGTCCCTAACTATGACTGACTGCAGTTCTACTGTAAGCTGCCTTTGTCAAGGTCAATGACCGGCGTACCTGACATGTAACAACCATACCATGTATATTGCTTTAGATTAATAGACTATATTAATTAGGCTGTGTATGTTTCCAAGAAAAATAACTAAGTAAAAACCCTCCCTTTTTTTTTGTACAACTAGACTTCTGTCTATATGTAATTAAAAAGCTCATATTTCCTCAATATTTCTAAAGCGGTCTGCAGACAGATAACAGATAAATCATCCATATGTGGTAGAAACCTTGGAGTTCTGCGTGTTATGATCTAATAAAAGCAAAACGTATGCTTTAGTTATGTTTGACCCACAGTGCAGTGTGAGGGTGGCAGTATCATGCTGTGGGACTGCCTTTTCTTCAGATAAAACACAATATTACGTGAAAGTAAATTAAGATATTAACAGTTCAGAAGAGAACAGTTCAGCATCACAATGTCTCCAACCATACAGCAAAAATAAGAGAAGAAGAAGAAAACATCCCCAGAGACAGGGGCTGCTTAAATCTGAGGCTATGGACAAGAGAGGACATTTGGAGACAATCCCAGACATTTAGAGAACTTATGCAAGATGACAAGTCAGATCAGGATGTGGCGTGCTGATAAACTCGGACCAAAGATACTGAAACTAAACCCAGAGGTTCTTCAACAAAGTTTTACTTCAAGGCTGGTTGCCTGATAGCTCAGTTTTGGGTTTGTAATCCCCTGCCTTAAAGAGTTTTAGAGGGTCATGTTTGTGCACTCAAAAACACATGCACTAATCCTATCAGTTGCTGTAAAAAAAAAAAAAAAAAAAAAAAAAAAAAATCCAATATCCCCCTTCTTTTTATTACAACTAGACTACTGGGGATTCCTACAGATTCTCCAAGCCAAAGCTCCAGTTTCCAGTAGTTTTCCGGACAAGGCATTCCTTTAAATGGGTAGGGAAGATTATTAAACAAAAATCCTTGTGCTGGAATTCAAACCTTGAGAAGAAGATAAGTAGGTCTGTATATAGGGGGCCTTATCTACTCCACTTGTTAATTATCTATTAATTATAATTAACCACATTGTTATAAACCATCCATATGTTTTGGAGTGGCCTAGTCAAAGCTCGTACTAAAATCTGATTGAAAAACTGTTCATGGTTTCAAACAAGACTCTGATGTGACTGAATTATGAAGAATCTGCAAAGAAAATGGGCCATCATTCCTCCAAAATGGTGTAAATAACTAATTATAAGTTATCACAAAGACGTAATGCTAGCTAACGCCACCAAGCAAGTCCCACCAGGGGAGGATAATTATCCATCACAGCACTAGGTTGACTCATGTGCTTTTTCCCTTTAATAAACTAAGTTCTTATTTAGAAAACATTTCCTTTAGGCCTATTCCACACAATGATGAAAAGGATATATTTTCAATAATGACTTGGGAAAAAAAGTTGCATCGACATACACGTACACGGTAAGGGTTAGCATCTGTAGTATATCTGCTTTGCCTGTTTTGTTATGAATGAACATGCCATACGGATAAGTGATAGACTCAGGGAGGTAAAAATATATGTATGGTATCTGCTGTAACATACTGTAACCACATGCAGATAATCCCATCATGCACCAAAATAGTCCCAGCCCACTCCATCTGTTCAGTCCTCTCATTTCCTCTTTTTTCACTTGTTCCCATCCGGACAGCTTCTCCATACTCATCCCTTTCTGATCACAGAGTTAGTTTTTTTTTTTCCTCTAATCACATTTCCTACCCTGAGATCTTTTCCATCTGCTCTATTAAGTGTGTGATTCTGGCTATGAGCTGTGAGAGCCACTCTGTCTCTACCATAGAGCTGTAAATCTTGTCACCTTTTGTCCATTTCTGTTGCCCAGCTCGGATCTGGAACTCGTTCAGGAATAGTCTGATTATATTGCATATTCTCAGTGAAACTTTTACTTTATTGTTTATCCTAAAATGTAGTGGTATTGGGGGTAAAATTAAATAGAGCCCAAGGGTCATCAAACAGCTCATCTTCAAACTAACAACAGAACTTTGATAAATGGTTTTGATCCAAACTATCAATGGCTGTTTAGGACCCAGGAATGATAAAATAAAAATAACAGCTGTTTCAATATCCGGAGGTGCCCTTGCTCTGCCTGTGCACCTTTAAATTATAACCCATACTGTTCACTATGGGGGAATTTTGTTCCATTATTGTTGCAAGAAAAGGATACATTTTGTAAATGCAAATTTGAAAAATATTCATTTTGTAAATTAATCCAGAAATAAAACTTTGAACAACTTTCTAATCAAAAACAGGTTTTTAGAGTCACGTTGATTTTTTTTTTTTTGAAACTTCTCCTTTTCACATCAAGTTTTACAATTTGTTCTTTGTTGATCTTTTGAAATTGTGTTTTACAGATCATATTCTCCCTCTTCTGGTGACGATCTTTCC